CTCTTTGTCTGATGGCAAAAACACACGTATCTTTTAGTTGGATGTTGGATGTGGAGGAGATGTTTGAGCTCACAATGCATAGGAAACGACCTCTTTGTCTGATGGCAAAACACACGTATCTTTTAGTTGGATGTTGGATGTGGAGGAGGTGTTTGAGCTCACAATGCATAGGACACGGCCTCTCTGTCTGGTGGCCAAATACATGCATCTTTTATTTGCATGTTGGATGTGCGTTCCGCCTTGTGAGCATATCCTTTCAGACACAACTTTCTACTTGCAGGTATATTAAGATAGTGAAGCAGCATAGTCTGGAGATATCACAACCGGGAGTAGATCCAAGCACTGGATTAACATGGCAAATGACCAAGAGGAGAAGAGACCATGAAGTCCGCAAGTGAGCGTCATTATCTGGCCTGACACTATTGCATTCGTGCCAAATGAAAGATATGCTACTGAGTGGATGGGTTTTCGACAGAGAGACGGAGGAGAAACCTGGCCGGTGCTCTGACCCTCGTCTTCCGCCGTACTCCGCGGAGGAACCATTCTGTACGAAACGATATCATCACAGGTACAATCATCCCGGAAAGCTCGAGGTGACGTCGTGCGGCGCTGATCCGTGTAGGTTGGTCGACGCTCGCATATAAGCTTAAACCGACTATAATTAATTGACCCCGTATGACTAACTCATCCTCGCAGGTATAAAAGCTAACCCTCCTTAATCAGGTGGGAAGAAAGAGATTTTTCAAGAAAGCTTAAACCCTTTTAAACCACACTAGTGCTAACTTAACATTTGGAGGGGCTAAGTCGGGAGACCCTTCCTCTCTCGACTCAGGCCTGTGTGCAGGAGCCTAACGACGATGAAACAGAATACGTACCGATAGATGAAGCGTGCGTGGAGCCAACTCCGAGTTTTGAACATCGACAAATGGATCGAGCCGTACTGACACCTTGGCTATGGTTAGAGAAGTTTGTTAACACTAACTATGTTTGGCATTTCACAAATTCTTCAGATATTAAAAAATGCATCTACCTTAAAGGAAGATGAACAACTTAACACAGTCCAATATTCAAATACTATATACACAACACTATAACAAGTTTAACAGTTTACACACATTATAGTCATACCTACCCCTGTCCCTCCTTTTCAACCTTGCTTTTTTTTTATATTGTTTTTAAAGATCCACTTTGAGTGATCCTTTGATGGATTTTTCAAACGTATCGACACTTGCAGTCATGTCGAAGATTAGCGGCTTCTCCGCTTGCTTGTTCTCGTGACAGAGAACAGGTTACTGAGAAATTCTGGTTGGAGTCCCCGAGCTTCTGCGAGTAGTCAACGGAGACGGCAAATGGAATTCGAAATCCTAAGTTGATGTTGCCCATCGCTGGTAGAGGTGGAGAATGAGATTTGTTACCCATCGGTTGCAGAGTTTGTAAGGTATATGTACAAGTGTATTTTTGACACGTGGTAAACCTTAGCCCTTTGTCAGAACAAGTTTGCCACGTGTCAAAAATACACTTGTACATATACCTTATAAACTCCGTAATCGATGGATAACAAATCTCATTCTCCACCTCTACCAGCGATGGGCAACATCAACTTAGGATTTCGAATTCCATTTGCCGTCTCCGTTGACTACTCCCAGAAGCTCGGGGACTCCAACGAGAAGTTCTCGGTAACCTGTTCTCTGTCACGAGAATAAGCAAGCAGAGAAGCCGCTAATCTTCGACATGACTGCAAGTGTGAAAAATCCATCAAAGGATCAATCAAAGTGGAACTCGAAAGAAAAAGCCAAGGTTGAAAAGGAGGGACAGAGGTAGTAGGTATGACAGTAGTGTATAAATTGTTAAACTTGTTACAGTGGTGTATACAGTATTTGACAGTAGGTATGATAATAGCTGCTGAGGCATAGGACTCGCAAAGCAAAAACAAATATCATTAAAGGAAAATAAAGCTGGACTTTAAATGTGAACTAAATATGATGCAGCATACCATAACATCAGACTGCCCAGGCTTTGAAGCTAGTTGCATACAGCAGTTATCAACAATGATCTCATTATACTTTTTATCCCTGGATATGTTTTTGCAACCTCACGGCATGATTCTAACAACAGTCCATCTACAAGCTTCATAGTATTGGCATGCATCCTCGAAAGCATACTTGGCAATTAGATCGAACAGAACTTTTGTTATCACCTAGCAAAAAGATGTCAAGAGGCCAAGAAATAAAAAAGAGGGGAAAAAAAGACTAAACACAAGCGAGAAATGAAAGACATCAATCACCAAAGAAAGGAGTTCAATATACAAGACTGCTCTAACTGAAGATTTGATTTTGCTATACGGCTTTACTACAATTTAATGACTCATTGCATCTGAATTTATCAACTAAAACACGACTGATCCAACTCCAAATGGACAACCGAGAATTCAAAAAGACAGTGCAAGTAATAGCCATAACTTCAGATGATGTGCAAGCAAAGAAATCGCTGAATGAAGATACATTAACCAAGATATCAAAATAAGAAAGCAAAACTACATCACACAAAATGAAAGGAGTGAGGACTTCAAAACAAAGTGAGACTATCTAGTTTCATAGATTTTATAGTCATTCTAAGAGCATTGGACTGCAAGAGATAAAAAAGGACAGTCCCAGTTTGGCCAGGGATTTGACTGGTCGATTACCAAGATACCGAATATCTCTATATCAGTGGTTCAAGTTTTGCTTCAGGTGTGCAAGTTATCGGGAGCTTTTTCCAAAGGATCTTAAGTGTCATAAGGTTTTCTATACTGTGATATAAACTATCCCCATGTACAAATCAACTAAACTGATAAATTATTCATCTGACTTTCTTTATGGTGGAAATTCTGCATTTCCTCATGTTAGCAACCAGAGGATTTCACACACAAAAAGATGAAATGCAGTAAGATGCCTAGTGTTCCTAATTAGGGTAATAGGGTATCCTACATAATGTTTTGAGGCATATTAGAACAATTGGAAGCCAGTAGTTATGCAATATCAGGGATGACGACCACCAGGATTTTATTTGAGGGGTAAATAGAAAAACCCAACAGGAATCATACCCTTTTTAGAAATCTTGGTTAAAAAAAACAGCAAATAGAAAGGAAAAAAAATACAAAAAGTTTAGAAAGAAACATAAAAAACTATAGAGAAAGAGAAGCGAAGATAACCCAAACACCCAAATGAAGGAAAAGTGGTCAGCAACTCTTATTTCTCATGTGAACAAAACCAGAGATACAGAAAACAAACTAGTGCATACTTGTGTTTCATAATTCGAGAAAGAGCTGTGCCAGGCAAACTGACATGAAGGCATCTTTTAACTCTTTAAAAGAGACCCAAAATGAATATCAACTAACTATTACATAATATAAATGGTTCCTACTGAATTCAAACAAGTTCAAAACAAAACATATTGGACCTCTTTAGCAGTAAAGAAAATCCATAAAAATCCGCCAAAAAAAAAGGTGGAAAAGCTCTAGAGCTCTATATATGATATGATCAAACTAGATCTTAGGTCCATCTAAACCTTACTTATTGTGAATTGCATCAGCTTGATGCCTGCAACAGTCAGGCACTCAAAACATCATATGTTTATGCTCTAAGCAAAGTTCAAAGCTTCATGAAACACTTTCATACAACCCTGCATAAAAATTGGTGCATAATTGTCAAATCTCATGCTAATATTTCTTTTTTCCTCAGCATCAATGGCTACCATTATTAGTTTGATCTTCCTTTTGCACCGAATGTCACCATAAGGATCACCAAATATACAAAACCAACTTTTGTACTTGTTGTTGCACTTTCAGTGGCTCTTCGAAGAGAAGTTGATAAACAAATCACTCTTCTTCAATATGCTCATGGAATGGTTCATCTGGTATGACCTCTTAGCCTAGTTGAACTGACAACTTGCTGTGGTTATTATAGTGTAGCCTTTCAGATCTTCTACATGCATTAGATACCACAAATTGCATAAAGTTAGCCCACAGCAACCCCACAACTGTATCAAATTTGCCATCCAACTTCTGTCATCAAAATCCTTCACATCAATTCTTTGAATCAATTGTTGATGCAATCCATCGTTTAAGAGTCGTGGGCTCTAATATTGAACTTATGAAGTACCAGGCGTAACAGGACTCTGCAAGGATTTGGATATAGGTGTCTAGACTCTAGAGTGAGAACCCAACAACGAAGGTTATGTTCAACAGAATCACCGTGTTACAAAAGGTAGCAATTAGATGGAAGGAATACTACAAAGATGGTTAACAAGTAAAATTTTAATGTACTGTGATATTATTACTTAAAGTAAAAAAGGAAGCCAACACACACATAAAGACTGGTGTCTGCCACACCAAATAGAAAAACAGTGATAATTGTATGCAAGGGTGACCACCACACCGAATAGAAAATCATCCATAGGAGTCAGCTAGCTTGATTGAGAAAACAGTATCTATAGCCATCCATGTCAACTCTGCTTATTTAATTTGTAATACTACAAGAAAAACATGAATCAAGTCCCAAAATATAAAAAAAAGAAGAAGTAACTTTACATTCAGTCAATTTGCTCAATCCCCTTCACCATCATCCTTCATCTCCACCACATTTAGGCATTCTCCACCATCAGTACCACCTCCTCTTTGCCACTACCTACTGATTACTGTTACGAAAATGATCATGCACTTACTTGCCTCAACACGCTCTCTTGGTACTTGTGACCAGTCAAACACATTTTTATCTACATCAACTAATGATCCACAAGAACAAGAAAGTCGTATGCAAACAATAATGAAAAGAACATCATATATTAGCAATTAGAGTGACAATTCGAATTCCATTTCTTGTACGAGAACCATACAGGTCACAGAAAAAGATTATAAAGTTGGGGAATTGTAATAATAAGTATTAGGAAAATTTCCTTTTCCAAGTTTCCAACTCACAAAGCTTTGGCAGAAATGGAAAGCCACATACGTTGAGACTCTTCACGACGCCAGGAACGACCTCGTGCTCCAGACCGGAGTAATCCCCCTCGGTATTCTCTCTGATCAACGCGTAAAGATCGAGTTCCTTTCTTAGCTACACGTTGAGGGAGCTGACCCCTCCGCCCACCGGCGTCCTGAGGCCGCCCTTGAGGCAGACCTTGTTCATCCGGATCGACTCGATAACCTCCGCCGGGCACCGTGGTCATGTCGCCGTGGACGTCATAGGTCTCGAAGTAGACGATGCGGGGAATGTAGGCCACGGAACACCAGGCCTCGGGAGGGGCCCGCCGCGAGACGATGCCGGCCGCATCACGAAGAAGGTGGCGAAGAAGCGAAGGTGCTCGCCTCGCGATATTGGCCTTTGGGCCGTCGATTCGAGAGGTTAGGGTTCAAGGAGAGCGAAAGAGCCACTGACCTCAATAAAGGGGTTTTATAGTCATTTTATTGAGCAATTAATGGAGCCATAGAAACGCCTGGATTTATCCGGACGTCAACGGTATGATTGTATAACATTTATATCGTGAGGTGATCGACTTAACAATGGCATCGACGTTATGATTATATATAACGCTGTCTCGGTCCCGCACGATTCAGGAAAATCCATCGACGTCATCGAAGACCCTCGAGCTCCCCCATGTGGGGACCCACGGGCAATCCTCTCTCTCTGTAGCTTGGCTCGAAGCATGGGAAGTGATCTTGAGCCGTCCTTGAACGATCAAGTCTTCTTGATCATCTCATCATGGTCGTCCGAACGCAAACCCGGCTCACTAGACCCCAGCACGCTACGCACATCGAACGCATGCGTTGGACCGATTTGTTAGTCAAACGTGAGCTTTGGTCGGGTCGGGTCAGATCTTCTAAACCCTTTATGAAGTGGTAACATTTCCGTCACATATGCTTACTTTTGTATACGCAACATATTGGATGGCATATTTTTATCCGAAAAGATCCGACCCGCATTGGACCACAATAATTGCGGAGTGAAGTCGGTCTTCGGACACGAGTGGCCGTTCCGTAACTGAATTCCACGGCTCTCAACGACCATTCTCATTCACCCATATTACGTTCATTGCGTTTCGTTTTCCTCGTCATTTATTCTCGCTCCCTCCAGTCGGTTTTCCTCTTGCCCGCAAGAAACGGCTCACGAGTTCCTAGGGGGGTCGACGGCGCGAGTGCTCCAATCCCTCCCGCGTAGGCTTCTCACACTTCTCCTCGGAGGTGACGGCGCACCGAGGGGCAAATTCCGCTTCTAACGTTCGTCTCGTGGGAGTTCGGACGGCCCCGGTTCCCAGGTGCGCCAGCGAATCTCTGCTTTGTTCTTGACTTGCTTTGCTTCGAATCGGAGTTAACGCTCGAGTATCTCTCTTGGTCCTTCTTCCGCGATTACTAGGGATTTGGTGACAAAAGGAGATCTTTCGGCAGAAAGTTTTTGTGTTTTTGTTTTCTATCATGTGTGGGTCTTCTA